TAGATAAAAGACACATTATCTGTTTTATTTATGTAACAATTCATTCATTCAATCAGTGAATGGTAACTGACTCTGGCCCATTAGCAGTATTATGTACTTGAGTCTAATATTTATGCTCATTTTCCCTTCAAATAAATATCTCAGATCTCAAAATCTTCTAGAATATAATAAACCTCCTGAGAATGAAAAGTGGTTCATTTTTATGCTATGAGGCCACTGAGGTAGCACAGGGTGATTATGGGGGTCTAATGGGATGAGAAGCATGACAGAATTTCGTAAAGAAAAAAAATAAAAGAATTTTGAATTTATATACAATATCAACTGCAAAAAAAACCTAAACAACTTATGAGGATATCTACTTAATGGCTTTGTTTTTTAAGTTTTATAACTACCACAGCCACTGTATAAAACTAAACACAGGGTTTCAATAATTATAAAGCACATCCCGTGATGGCTCAAGAACTGTTTTGTGAAATATACACAATACAGATTGAACTATTTTGATGGAAATGAAAAGACAATGGCATGAGTCACAGCTCAGGAGGCATACATGATGAATGCTGTAGCTCCTAAGTATGCTGTGTCAAGGAAAACTGGTCAAGGAGAAACTGTCTTTGAGCTTAAAGAAGACATCAGTTCTACACAAAAGCCTTTCTAAACAACAGGGACTTAAGGGCCCTCAGGAAGCTGAGTCATGCCCAGTAAAGCAGGGTACAACAGCTGGCACTCGGAACCAGAGACAAAGTAACTGCCTGCTTAAGGCTCTTCTTTATTCTGTTCCAGTAAGCTGCCTTTGCTTTTACTTCTATGGGGCCATGTGGTTTATTTCCTAAACCTCTTATGGCCTCCGCTGCAGATTCAGCAGTCCATCCTGAACAACATTGAATGCTTTGCAATGACATAGAATTCTAAGAGCAAAAGAGCCAGCTGTCATCTAACCCAGGTTCCCCTCATAAAATAAAAACAAATAAACAAACAGAGCTTACCCATCTTGCCCAAACTCAACTGTTTCTCAAGCAGAGAAAAGAGGACAAACCCATCTTTGTTAATATTGAGATGGTCCAGTTCCAGAATTAGGAGAGCTTCATCAAAGCTTCAAATTGAGATCCAGCATTTCTGGTTTCCTCTTGTTCCTTTTGATATGCTACAGGAAGCACTAACTAGTTGGCTGCAGTGTCCCTGTTCCCCCTACTCCATCTGCCCTCATCCTGTCTACACTTCTTCATTAAGTCATCATATTTAACGGACAATCCAAGATTTCAGGATGAACCAGACCATGGTGGTCAATGGAGATAACAGCTCTCCAGAGACCTATTTCCCAATTCACTCAACAAAGGTTTCTTTTTTTAAGATTTTATTTGTTTATTTGTATACAACATTCTGCTTCCATGTATATCTGCACACCAGAAGAGGGCACCAGATCTCATAACGGATGGTTGTGAGCCACCATGTGGTTGCTGGGAATTGAACTCAGGACCTCTGGAGGAGCAGTCGGTGCTCTTAACCGCTGAGCCATCTCTCCAGCCCCTCAACAAAGGTTTCTTAAGCCTCCTGAACTACTAAAAATCAATAACAATGATACCTTTTGAAAACCATACAGAACAAGGATAAATATTAATGCTATGATCTTAGATGATCGAATTAAATTCTTGCAGCTTCCACTTCACTACCTATAAAAATGACTTCTCATGTCTTTTGATAATCTAGGGCTTTGGAGTATAATATCTTCATTTTCTACAGGACCATACCAAAAATAGCTTCTGTTTCTATATAAATCCCATAAAAATCCCTTCAGGCTGGTACAGTACTTATTACAACCTCCACTTAGAATGGGAGATTCCTTTCCAGTTGTTAACTATTGTGTTGGTGGTTAATAGAGGAGAGGCTAATATTAGTTTCTCAAATTCAGTATTATGTTATTTGGCCTGTAGAAAAAAAAAAAAAAACAATGGAAACAACATAGATAGCATGTATGTGTGGGCACACACAACACACACATATGCGTACACACACACACACACACACACACACACACACACAAACACACACTGCTTGTGTTTTAAGTGCTATGGAATAGACATGAGTCTTGTGGATGATAGACAAGTACTTCACCATTGAGCTAGTTCCTAAATCCAGAATGCAAATATTTTAGGAACTGAAGTCATGACCTTTGGAGATGAATACTTGTAATGACAACAAGTAAGTAGATAGGCCACCTTGAAAATTTTTAAAGCATGAAATGACTTTATCACTCAAAAATCAAATCTCTACACTTGAGATTGATATTAAACTTGTGCCAGTATGACAACTTGTCATATATTTTCACTTAAATAACCTTACAATATTTCTGTCCTATAGTTGAGTCAAATTATTTTCATAATAACTGCTTATTTTATTCCTAAGTGATAGATTTATTTATATAATTTAACCCTAATGTTTATTATTTTCTAAGAATCATTATGTGCTAGACACAATACATGTATACACATACAGACAGATATATATATGCAATTACATGTTATATCCCCAATACATATACATTATAAACATATAAATATTAACTCATATATGTATATTAATATACTGATTTTGTGTTTCAAAATTGTTCCTATGTACTCCCATTTTCTGAATGGAATCCCGAGAGTGTTGATCATGGAATAAGATGGTAACATTTTCATATTAATGAAAAACTTGAAAAACTTATAACCATAAGTAATTTCACTGAAAAAGAAGATACTATATGTATATATTTCTTTTTTGGCTTAACCTGTTTTGAGTAATCTTAAATACGGGATAAATGTCATAAGGAGAAATCAAAGTGATTTGACTGAATAATTTTTTTAACTTGGGAATGTTTTATTGGGGTAAAGGAAGGGAGTGGGGAAAGGAAAGAAAGAGAGGAGAGAGGGGAAGGAAGGAAGGAAGGAAGGAAGGAAGGAAGGAAGGAAGGAAGGAAGGAAGGAAAAGAACTGATTGCCTCTTCAGAGGAACAGCAGGGAGAGTGAGAAGGAGTTTGCTGGCAGTTTGTCTCGCTCTCCCATTTTTCTCCATTTTTATTTAAATTAGAAACAAGATTATTTTACATGTCACTTCCTCTCTCTCCTCCCCCCCCAACTAACACCTTACCTATCCCATACCCTTTCTGCTCCCCAGGGAGGGTGAGGCCTTCCATAGGGGGTCTTCAAAGTCTGTCATATCCTTTGGGATGGGGCCTAGGCCCTCCCCCATGTGTCTAAATTCAGGGAGTATCTCTCTATGTGGAATGGGTTCCCAAAGCCCATTGCTATGCTAGGGATAAGTACTGATCTACTACAAAAGACCCCACAGATTTCTGAGGCCTCCTCATTGACACCCATATTCATGCGGTCTTGATCAGTCCCATGCTGGTTTCCCAGCTATCAGTCTGGAGACCAAGATTTCCCCCTTA